AGGGAGGGAGGGAGGGAGGGTCATTCCCATAGTATAGTACAGAAGCACAGTACAGAAGACTTAACTAGTTCAGAAAAAGTATGAAAAAATTAACCACTCATGGAAAACTCTGTACCCTGAATATGACTCATTTAGGAAATATTTAGGAAATAATGAAAAATATATAATGTGACAGAAAATCCTCAGTCATAAACAGAATGACCTTACTTAGCCACTTCTCACATTTATTATTCCACAAACTTGAAACCAAACACTCATCAGTGCTATAATAAATTCTATCCATAGAAGATGGCACAGGAATGAGTTCTACATCATCCTCTAGAAAGGCTACCCTAAACCTGTAATCACAGCATACTGAATCTGGGGCAGAGGGATCAATCACAAGCTTGAGGCCAGTTGGGCTACCCTTTCCACTCCTTGCCTCCCTAAATTTAGATAGTTTCCTGAGGCTAGAGATGAAGCTCAGTGGTAGAGTATTTAGTTAGCAGAGCAGAGCCTAGATTTGATCCCTACTACTGGGATCCACTGCTGGGATTAAGGGTGTGCGCCACCATCGCCCGACATGAAGGGTTAAATTTTTAAAAAAATTGGGGCATGTATACAAAATCAGCTATGAAGGTGGAAATAGCAAGAATCTAGAAAAAGAAGTAGATAGAGCTTTACAAAATGATAAGGCCCTGACTAACACTCCTGACTTTGGTTTTTATTGGACAAATGATTAAGGGGGCGCAGTTGTCATTTTAGTATTTGTTTGTTCCTAACATTATGGGTTCAGTCTCAGTACTATCAAAAAGAAAGGAAAGAAGGAATAAACAAATGAATGAACAGGAAATTCAAAGCCCAAAGTAAAACTGAACTGGAACACAGCCACACTCATACATGTGCAGTCCAGGGCTATTTCAGGCCAGCAGAGATGACAGCTGCAACCCAGACTTCCTGTGTCTTCTGGCTCCACACTGCTGCTCATCACAAACTGCAGTGACACAGCTGTAGCCACACCGTCCAGTCACCAGGCCAGCTCATTATGCTAGCTATGACACCAAAACTTTGCCTTTATTTCACCTGAAAATACCAATGTGTCAGACAGGAAGAGGGAGGAAAAGGAGTTTAAATATTCTGGCTTTACAGCATAATAGTGTAGATTATTTTGTTATCAGAAGTGGCAAAGTATAGTGTTTACTATCCAGAAATAACAGAAAAATCAAAAATATCACCAGACTATAAAAAATACCCCCAATTTACACAGAATCAATGATAAGAAAAATTAGGATAAAATGGGACATTCATATCAGCAGTATTTCTTTTCTTTTCTGTCTCTCTTTTGAGACAGGGTTTCTCTGTAGCTTTGAAGCCTGTCTTGGAACTCATTCTGTAGACCAGGCTGGCCAGTGATCCGCCTGCCTCTGCCTCCTGAGTGCTGGGAATAAAGTCGTGCACCACCAATGCCCAGCTCAGCAGTATTTCTTCAAAAAGAAAAAGAAATGTAAAGAAACCCTATCTTAAAAAAGAAATAAAGAAAATGGACCAGGCAGTAGTAGAACAACTTTAATCCCAGCACTAGAGAGGCAGAGGCAGACGGATCTCTGTGAGTTTGAGGCCAAGCTGATTCACAGAACAAGTGCCAGGACAGGCTCCAAAGCCACAGAGAAACCCTCCTTTAGGGAAAACAACAGCAAAAAGAAAAAAATGAAAATAAGACAAATAAAGTAAGCTTCAAAGTAGCTCAGTCGGGAGCCAAGCAAGAATGATTTATGATGTTAATTAAATCATGTTGCATTTAATCAGACCACAGTAGAATTAAACTAGGAATCAGTAATTAAAAGACTAATGGAAAGAAAATCCCTGAGTACCTGGAGATTAATTAATACACGTGTAAGTGACACAAAAGTCAAAGAGAAAAATCTGAGGAAAAATAAAAGCACTATTTTGATACAAATGAAAATGACAACACAAGCCATATGCGGTGACAAACGCATGTGATCTTAGGAAGTGGAGGGCAAAGGCACAAGTATGCAAATCTAACCAACCGAGAATAGCTTGATACCCCGAGCATTTCTGACCACCTACATGTCATTCGGTATACAGAACCCGTAAACTCCACAGTTCCAGCTGTGTACCTACAACTGCATCCCTCCAGTAGGTCTTAGGAAGTCTTAAAAGTACCAAGACAAAGTTGGAAGTGCCAGCCTGGCCTAGGCCTTTAATCCCAGCATTCAAGAGACAGAGGCAGCTGGGCGGTGGTGGCATCAGGAGGCAGAGGCAGGTGGATCTCTGTGAGTTCAAGGCCAGCCTGGTCTACAGAGTGAGTTCCAGGCCATTGGAACAGAGAAACCCTGTCTGGGTGGGGGGAGAGAGAGAGAGAGAGAGAGAGAGAGAGAGAGAGAGAGAGAGAGAGAGAGAGAGAGAGAGGCAGGTGGGTCTCTGTACATTCCAAGCCAGCCAGGGCTACAGAGACAAACCTTGTCTCAAAAAAAAAAGGGGGGGGGGGACAGGACAATAGCAAGACAAGACAGGTTTGGGGTTACTTTTGATGTTTTTAACTCATTATGTATGTGCAGGTGTGTGTATGTGTACATGTGCATACCTCAGCTCACATGCAGAAGTGGACTTTCTCAGGGTTATTTCTCAGGTCACCAGACTTGCACGACAAGCATCTTTATACTCTGAGTCATCTTGCTAGCCCCACTCTCACAACAAAGAACCTATTCCCATGAAAACAACCTGAGTTCCTCCCCTAGCACCCATGGAAGAAGGAGAAAACCAACTCCCACAAAGCTGTTCTCTCCCTCTCTCCCTCTTTCTCCTCCCCCCACACCATAAATAAATGTAATAAATTTTAAATAAAGATGGGCACATACATTATACTACAAAGAATTACACTGAAAATAAGACTCTACCAGACATTTGAACTTTTTATATAAATTTAATATTCAATAGTCAGTTAAAAGTTGTTTGGCTTTTTTTAAACTTAGTGTGTATGGTTATAGGCACAGCATGTCACATGCCTGGAGTTTAGAGGACAATGGTTATCCTTCTACCTGTGGGTTCCAAGGACACGATTCAGACCATCAGGCTTTTTGACAAGCACCTTTCACCTACTGAGCCATTTCTCAAGTGTCTTGTTGACAGGATCTCATGTAGCTGATTGGTTTTGAATTCTCTATGCAGATAAAATTGGACTTGAATTCCTGGTCCTCCTGTTCCCACCTCCCAAGTGGGATTATAGGTATGTGCTACTACATTAAGATCAGTTTGGTCTACACAAGACCTTTACAACAACAACAATAAAAAAAACCAGGACCAGGCATTTGGTTACAAACACATTGAATCCCAGAGGCACAGGCAAGTGTGTGTCTCTAAGTTCAAGGCTAGCATGGTCAACATATTGAATTCCAGTTCTGCCAAGGATACACATTGAGACCCTCTTACAAAAAAAAGGTAGAGAGACTCAACTGCCAAAAATATTGTCCCCTGACCTCCACATGTGTTTACATACATGCACATACCCACAGCAAGTGCTCTTATAGAGAATCTAGGTTCGATTTCCACATGGTAGCTCACAACCATCCATAACTGTAGTTCTAGAGGATCCATTGCCCTCTTCTGACATCCACATGCATCAGGCATGCACATGGTACACATACATGCATCAAAGTAAAGCACTCATACACATAAATCTTTAAAAGAAAAGAAAAAAAAAGGAAAGAAAGAAACCAGACCAGATGTGGTGGCACATGCTTACATTCCCAGCATTTGGGAGACAGAACAGAAAGACTGACCCAAATTAAAGAGTACCCTGGTCTATATAACAAGTTTCAGAACAGGCAGGACTACATGGCCAGAGCCTGTATCAAACAAAGTCTGATGCTTGCAAAGTAAAGATGCTTGCTGTGGTGGCCTGAAAGAAAATTGCCCTCACAGAGAGTGGCACTATTAGGAAGTATGGCTTTGTTGGAGTAGGTAGGGCCTTGTTGAAAGAAGTGTGTATCATGAGGGTGAGCTCTGAGGTCTCATGCTCAAGCTATGCTCAATGTGACACAGAGTTCCTTCTGCTGCCTGCGTATCATGATGTAGAACTCTCAGCTCCTTCTCCAGACCATGTCTGCCTGCACACTGCCATGCCCCGCTACGATACTGGACTAAACTCTGAAACTATAAGCCAGTCACAATTAAGTGTTTTCTTTTATAAGAGTTGCTGTGGTCATGGTGTGTCTTCACAGCAATAGAAACCATAAGACATTTTCCAAAAAGCCTGAGGCGCGAGTTGGATTTCCAGGAACCACAGAGTGAATAGAAAGCATCGACTCCCAAATACTGTCTTTTATCCACCGCACACACATCATGGAATGTACACACTGGCACGCATACACACTTATAGTGGCATCTTGCCTTGCCAGTGAACCTGTAATGGTGGCCACACCCTTTGGGCATGATTGCAGGTGCAGACACGACCCATTACAGGGTAGAAAAGGGGCTGCCTTGAGCTCTCTGGGCTGCAGATAGCATTGGAAGGACGGAGACTGCATCTTCTGGAGCAGGAAGACTAAAGTTGTCATTTACCCTTTCTTATCTGTGTAAGTGCTTCCCTAACAAATACTTATTCCTCATTTATCTTGGGTCTGGTGGAGTCATTTAAACCCTGCCTTCAAATTTTTTTATACACCCAAGCATGTTATTAAGAGAAAAATTCAGTTTCTGTCTCATATCAGAAGAGCCGGTTGTGGTGGTGCACGCCAGTAGGATTTGGGGTAGGAAGTGGAGGCAAGATGCCACTTCACACACTCATGAATAAGTAAATAAAAACTTTAAAATGAAACAAACCAAAATCAAAATAAACACCATTAAAAGAAGTTGCAACTCGGAGTGGGATGGGATGGGGTGATTATTTCTATAATTAAAACTGCTTGATCTTACATATATAAACTACTTAGATGCAAATACTTCCACAGATCAAGTCCTTTTCATGAGCCAACATAACCACTATAAACCTAAGACAGTACCTTGGGGTGAAGGATCTTCTTGTTTCTCCTGAGAGAGAAGTCCCAAGTAGCTGAGAATAACATACTTTGTTTCATAGTGAAATCCTAGAGGCACAGTAGTAGAGGACGCCATTGAATTGGCTGAAGGAGCTCCAAAGAGGTCTATTTATGGTGGAAATCTAAAAACAAAAGGTTTCTTTCAGTTTAAAGTTGATTACAAACCAATCAATCAGTTTCCCCATTGCTCCCAATTACTCACCTAAGTCCCAAAGTAAATGTCAGTTTTCTTTCCAATAATCTTTTAAAATTAACTTTAATTTCTATACAAACAGTAACTTATTCAAATAAAAGGTAGATTTTCCTTTTCCAGTTTTTTCTTTTCTATTTGTTTGCTTCTGTACCATCTTAAAGGTGGCCGTGGTACACATGTGGAGGTCGGAGGACTCTGTGGAGTCAGTATTCTACTTCCACCCTGCACGGTTCTGGGAATGAAACTCAGGTTGCCAGGCCTGCATGCCAAGCACCTTAACCACTGAGCCACCTCAATGGCTCCTCCTAATTATTTCCACACATGTGGCAAACACATCCTGAACTCCCCATATGTGTTTCCTCACTTCTTTTAATAATAAACCTCACAGCCATGGCCTTTAATCCCAGCACTCAGGAGGCAGAGAGTTCGAGGCCAGCCTGATCTACAATTTGAATTCCAGGAAAGTCAGAGATGTTACACAGAGAAACCCTGCCTTGAAAACTAAATAAATCTTCTTAATATAACAGCTACACCCATGCTACATACCTAGGGACTCCGCCTTCCAGCCCTCTGTTCTACTCAATGTGCTACACAGCTAGTCTCAGTAAGAAGGACAGTTGTATATGCAATTTGTATCTTTAGTTATTGGTTGTTTTGCTTTTAAGACAATAGCTCATGTACTGGGGCCATGTCCCACTAAAATTTATTTTTTGGTTTTTGTGAGGTATGTGCAATTTGTGAGCCTTTTCTTTTGGGAGAGGGGGCTGTCTTGTTTGTTTTGTTTTATGGTTTTGGAGACAGGGTTTCTCTGTGTAGTCCTGGCTGTCCTGGAACTCATTCTGTAGACCAGGTTGTCCTTAAATTCACAGAGATCCACCTGCCTTTGCCTCTCAAATGATGGGATTAAGCTATGTGTAGTGTAGTATTCCCCGGGACTCAGGTGCTAGAGGCAGGAAAATTAAGAGTTCAAGATCACTCTCAACTACATATTGAGTTTGAAGTCACTCTTGGCTACATAAGACCCTGTTTCATAAAAGCAAGTTTTTAATGGCCACCATGGCAGTACGCATTTTTAATTCCAGTACAAAAGAAGCAGTAGCTGACAGATCTCTGTGAGTTCAAGGCCAGCTTGGTCTACATAACTTCTAGGCTGGCCAGAGCTGCACAATGAGATCTTGTCTCCAGACAAACAAAACACGTCTTTAAATATAAGGTTGGCTTTCTGAGTGTAGTGGGAGGCTGCACTGAGGACCAAAGACAGCCTCCCATATGCCAGCTGCTCTGTCCCAAGCTCGGGTATGATCTTCTGTTTGGGTGTTTCCCTTTGGACACAGGGCCCTGCAATGACACAGACTTGGGACTTGTCATGTTGCCTAAGCTGGTCTTGAACTTGCAGTAACACTCCTGCCTCTGTCTCACAAGACCCAGCATTAGAGTCTTGAGATACCACATTCAAAATTTCCAGATATGATCTTAAATTCAAACAAATGGCAAATTCTAGGATCAGTAGAGGCTGAAGGTAAAGGTATTTATTGCCTTAACACAGCTAATATCTGTGTTAAGGATTTGAATACCCAGAACCCACATGAATGTGCATGCACTGACACACATACACATGAACACACAAACAAAAACAATGCTCCTGAAAAATACCTGAGGTTGAGCTCTGGCCTCTGTATGCATGTGCACAGACATGCATAAATACTCACATATACACATGCACCCACACATATACACACAAAATTAAGTTTTTAAGATTGCAAAAACTATCCCACTCAGCTGCACTGCTACATCAAGGTGTTAATTTAAAAATTTAGCAGGCACCTCTATTGTCCTAGTGTTGATTGTCCCTTTCCAGTTAAGACATGCGCAATGGGACACTCTGGTTCAATCCTGTGTTGACAACCACCCCAAATATCTGCACTCAGCAGTTGGCATTCACAGATAATGCACTCACAGGGGAATTCCTAATATGGAACCCTCCCCCTTACACACAGACTCTGACTTTCACAATAAGCAGTTTAAGCTCCCCATATAACAGCAAAACAAAATTCAAATACAGATTTCTCCATTCTAGGTACATGCTAGAGAAATGTAAACGTGTCCCCACAAAATTTGTACACGTGTTCAAGGTCACTTTATGCATACCTAACAGCCACAAAGAAAAAATCTTCCTTTTTGATTTTTTTGTTTGTTTGTTTTTGTTTTATTTTGGTTTTTTTAGACAGAGTTTATCTATGTAGCCCTGGCTTGTCCTGGAACTCGGTTCATAGAATCAGGTTGGCCTTTAACTCACAGAGATCCAACTGCTTCTGCCTCCCTGGTGCTGGAATTAAAGGCGTGAACCACCACTGCCGCCTGGCAGAAAACAACTTTCAATTTATTTAAAAAATAAGGGAGGGGGGTGTCTCAAGAGGTGACTTAATGGTTAAGAGCAAGTACTACTTTGCAGAGGATCCAAGTTCAATTCACAGCACCACATCTGGCAGCTCACGGTGCAACATTGTGCACATTCCAACTCCAGGAAAGTTGCCTGCCTCCTCGGGTGGGTACACACTCACACAGATACACATAGTTAAAAATAATGTTTAAAATATAAGTCACGTAAGCTAGATACTGAGGTATGAACCACTGTGTCTAGACACCTGGAGAAGATGAAGAATGAGGGTCCCCTGACAAAAGTTTAAGGCATTTTCCAGCCAGGCAGTGGTGGTACACACCTTTAATCCCAGTACTCAGGGGAGACAGAGGCAGGTGGATCTCTGAGTTCAAGGCCAGCCTGGTCTATAGAGTGAGTCCCTGGACAGCCAGGGCTACACAGAGAAACCCTGTCTTGAAAAATCAAAACAAAACAAAAGGCAATGTCTGAAAAATAGAAAATATTGGCTAGGATTGGAGGACAAGCGTGTATTAGCAGCACACTGGGGAGAAGGAAGCAGGAAAATCTCAAACTTGAGGTCAATGTAATCTACATGTCAAGGTTCCATCTCAAGACTTTTCTCTGCCAAAAAAAAAAAAAAAACAGAAACAAATGGTATGGTGGTACATACCTTTTAAACCTAGCATTCTGGAGACAAAAGCAGGCTGTTTCTGAGTTCCAAGCCAGCCAGAGCTACATAGTCTTAAAAGGCATAGGAAAAGGAGGGAAAGTTAAAAAAAAAAAAACAAAAAACAAGAAAAGTTCACTAAACTGTTGTATGTCCACACACTGCCATATTCTACACACTGGAATATCATTTACCTTTAAAAAGAAATAAAGTAGGGGGCTAGAGAAATGGCTCAGTGGTTAAGAGCACTGGCTGCTCTTCTGAAGGACCCAGGTTCAATCCCAGCACCTACAAGGCAGCTCAATCTGTTTGTTCCAGTCCCAGTGCCAGGGTATCTGACACCCTCACATAGACATGAAGGTAGGCAAAACACCAATGCATATAAAACAAATAAATCATTTTTTAAAAAGGAATAAAATAAGGTAGCCAGGAGTTGGTGGCATACGCCTTTAATCCCAGCACTCGGGAGGTAGAGGCAGGCAGATCTCTGTGAGTTCGAGGCCAGCCTGGGCTACAGAACGAGTTCCAGGACAGTTCCCAAAGCAATACAGAGAAAACTGTCTTGAAAAACCAAAAATAAAAAAAGAAATAAAGTAATGGCTCACACTGCAATCTCAGTTCTTGGGAGGCTGAGGCAAGAGGACTGCACGAGTTCAAGGCCAGCGGTCAGTACAAAATGAGAGCAAGCCTTAAAAAGCAGAAAAGAAAACCAGTGGCTGTATGTGGTAAAGAAGTAGGAATAAAAAATGGCTACTGCCAACCATGGTAGCATACACCTATAATCCCAGCAATGAAACGGTGGCAAATGTAGCCAAAGTTCAAACCTGGGCCACATAGAGATTTTTGTCTCAAAAAAAAAAAAAAAAAAAAAAAAAAAAAATACATAAGAACCATTGCCAAGTGGTATGGGGTTTCTTTTAGAAGTGATGAAAACTCCAATAATAGTTGCACAACTTTGAATGTGCTAAAAGTCATTATGTTACACAACTGTGAATTGTAAATAGTAAATTTACTGTGAGTTGTAATAGTAAATTAATTATATCTCAGTGAAGCTGCTAGACAATGAGCTGCTCTCAGCCAGCCTTAGTGGAACACAACTGTAGTCCTAGCACTCAGAAGGCTAAGCAATAATGCCACCAATGTGAGGCCAGACTGAGCTTCACAGTGAGTTCCAGACCAACCTGAGCTACATACTGTGAGATGCTGTCTCATAAAAACAACAAAAATCAGGTTAGGGTGTAGCTCATTAGTAGAGCACATAAAAGCCTCAAGACCTGTATTCTATGCCCAGCACCAGAAAAACCAAAAGCAAGTAACAACAAACGGGGCTGGAGTGCATCTCAGTGAGAGCTCAGCAAAGGACAACGGATTTGATCCCTAACAGAAAAACCCAACTCCTGAAAGTACTGCTCTTGACACAGATTTGGGTGGTGCAGGTCAGTAATTCTAGGCACTCAGGAGGCTGAGACAGGAGGATCACAGTTCAAGACCAGACAAGGACTATATAAGGTCACCCTGCCTAAAAACTTCTTGATGTGGGGGCTGAAGAGAAGGCTCGGGGGTGAAGTGCATCTGCTGTTCTTGCAGAGAACCTAGGTTTGGCCCCCAACACCAACATGGTGGTTCACAGCCATCCCTAACTCCAGTTCCAGGCCGATGTTCCCTGTTCTGACCTCTGCTGGCACCATGCACACAGAGAGCACATACACCCAGGCACATAGGATAAAATAAACACACCTAATAATTTTTTTTAAAATCTTGGTGATAATTTATTTGGAATATGACTCAAATGAGAAAAAAAACAATGAAAATACTAAATGTTTACAATTTTATGCCTAAAATGTTTCATAAGAAAGAATGCAGAAAAATATTTGATAGTACGCCAAGATGGCTCCTTGGCAAATAAAGCTACTTGCTGCCAGACCCGACCACCAATTCCCAGAGCCCACGTGGTGGAAACAGAGAACCAACCCCTGCTAGCTGTCTTCTTACCCCTACTTCAGCTTGTGATCCATAAAACCCTGTCACAAAAAAAACAAAGAAAGAAGAAGGAAGAAAAATTAAAAATTTTAGAAGCGTGTTAAAGGTTAAAGACACAGCTTTCTCCTTTTTAAGCTTTTACTATTTTAATTATATTTGGGGGGAGAAGGGGATATGTGCACATGAAGGCAAGCGCCCACAAAGGTCAGGGATGTGAGATTCCCCCGGAGTTAGGGTTACAGGCAGCTCTGAAGTACCAGATGTAGGTACTGGGAGTCAGACTCAGGTCCTCAGGAAGAGCAGTGTGTGTTCTTAACCACTGAGCCATCTCTCCAGCCCTTGCTTTTTCTGAAGACGGGGGCTAACTTTCAGCCCAGGATGGTCCCCCAGCAATCTTACCTAGCCTCCCCTGTACATTTACAGCAGTGCCGAGTGGCACATTTTTCTTCTTTCATAAGCTGAAGGTGTTTAGTGAGAGCAGTCAAAGAATGAGACATTAACCGAGGAGGGTGGGAATGGCAAACACATACTGCACACTTGTACAAATTTGTCAAATAATGATATTTATTATTAGATTTGCCAGATGGTGGTGGCGCACACCTTTAGTCCCGGCACTCAGAAGGCAGAGGTAGGCAGACCTCTGTGAGTTTGAGACCGGCCTGGTCTATAGAGTGAGTTTAAGGACAGGCTACAAAGCTACAGAGAAACCCTGTCTTGAAAAGAAAAAAAAAAAAAAAGATGGTTAGATTTAACCTTACACGTTATTTGGCCAAATTCAATTTCCAGGGCACACTTCTGCACAAGAAACAGGCCATTTTAAGATAGGTGTGGTAGCCCAGCTGGGTTCCAAGCACTGGGGAGGCTGATTTAGGAGGACTATGGTAAGTTCAAGGCTAACCTGGACCACATGCTGAAACAGTCTCAAAACAAAGCAAGGGCTGATGAAATGATTCAGTGGAAATAGCAACTTGAGTTTAGTCTCCAGAACCCATGTAAAGATGGGAAGAGAAAAAGAACTACCAGAGTTGTCCACTGGCTCTAGATGGTGGTACAGGCCTTAAAGGTATAGGCAGGCAAATGTCTGTGACTTTGAGGCCATCCTGGTCTAATAGGAAGCTCCAGGAAAACCAAAACTATATAGAAAACCTGCCTGCAACCCCCCTAAACAAAGTTGCTCATTGCCCTACACACATGTGTACCCAAACACACACCTACACCCAACACGCAAGAATAATAAATTTAGGCTGCACATTGATGGAGCATGCCTTTAATCCCAGCACTCGGGAGGCAGAGGCAAGCAGATATCTCTGAGTTCTAGGCCAGCCTGGTCTACAGAGAGAGTTCCAGGACAGGCTCCAAAGCAATACAGAAAAACCTTGTCTCGAAGAACCAAATAATAATAATAATAAAAATAACAATAATAATAGTAATAAATTTAATTCAATTTTTAAGGGGACAGGCATGGTTGGGGGGTACTCCTGGATCTCAATACATGAGAGGTAGGAGGAGGAGGATTCGAGTTCAAGGCTAGCTGAGATACATGAGATTAAATAAATAAATAAATAAATAAATAAATAAATAAATAAATAAATGCTATTTTAAGGACTATGAGCCATCTGGAAAAGAATATTTAGAATAGTACCTGGTCATTCAAAGCAAGGGAACCTTCAAAGTCCTTATCTGCCTATTATATACAGAACAATTGTTTTAAGTATTTTCAATTCACTGTTACAAACATGCAGGATACATTCATTAATCTAATTGCAAGTGTGAAATATAAGTGGTTCCCTACCCACACACTTGCTTAACTTTCTTGTGTGTTAAAAAAAAAAAAAAAAAAAAAAAAAGTGGGGGGGGAGGAAAGGCATTTCAAGGGTGTGGCAATCATGTAAGGTCACACAAGTTAGGGCAGACAGAGAGCGTCAACATTCTGGTTTATACTAAGCCTCCAAGGGAAATATTAGAAATTTTGCAAAACTATTTTTTAACATCAGAAAGAAGAGGGGCCTGTCATCATAATTCAAAACTTTTAAACACAGAGAGTAAAACAGATCTTTCAGATAAACACTTGTTCACGGGCAATGGTGAATTGCTTAACAAAGCTATCAGCAAAAAGCATATGAATTTCTGGGCGGATTCGCCCAATTTTTACCCCTTAATGTAAAAGCCCCAACTCAGAAAGGCCAGGTTTCCTCCTACACAGTGTTATAATACGAAGGCAAGGAATGTGGGACCCGTGGGAATATGAGGAGGGTTTTTTTAAAAGGCAAAGAAGAATTAGTGTGAATGGGATCTATCGCCTCCATAGGGTGAGAAGGCCTATTGGTTTTGTTTTGTCTTGGGGTGGGGATGGAGTGGGAATGATGTGTCAAAACTGCTGTGCTAACCCTGAGAACAAGACTTGTAACACTGTGGCAAGAACGCACTAGTTAAGCTGGTCTATCTATAATCGTTCTAAGTGAATGGCACACACTTTCTCCTCCAAGAACGAATTCAGATTCCCAGTCCAGCCCCCCAAACAGACCCCGGTTCTCCAAGCAAAGATCTGTGTGCAGACCAGAATGGAGAGCAAGGGTGAGACCCTGGCGCCGCAGGCAGCCACACAGCCCGTTCCAAAGCATGGTGGGGGCGCGCTGGACAGTCCATTAGCCCCCAAGAGTCCCAGCAAGTCCCGAGAAGCCTCGGCGGAGCGGCACGGTCCTCCCTCCCTCCCGCCGGGTGTCTCCCGCGTCCTGGGCAGCACCGGGCGCCCGGCTCGGTGGTCTCGAGACCCCTTCCTCGGCTGGTGAAAACCCGCTTCGCCACCCAGCAGGATCTGCCCGGGACCCCACTCCCCTCACCTGGCCTCGGCCCTGCCCCAGAAGGGATGAAGGAGGCGGCGCCGGCAGCAGGTGCTTCCCACAGGGTCCGGGAGCGGCGGTGGCTGCTTCGAACCGGGGCCCTAATCTACCGCCGCCGCCATGTTGGACGGTGAGGTCACCCCTGCGCGCTTCCGTCACGGCCTGCGTGGGGGTGGGGCTGGGGCGCGGAGCCGGAAGTCCGAGGCTCGGTCCGCTGGAGCGGAAGCGGAGTCTCTGATGCCCTGGTCAGTCCGCGCAGGCGTGGCCTGTGCACGGAGCTGTCCTTTGCCTCTCTTTTCAGGAGCCACTCAAAGCCTAGATTCCTGGACTTCAGAAATGCCCTCGCTAAGTCATTTCCAGTGCCGAGTAGCGCTAAGATGAGGTAGACACCGCCTGCCTGCTCACCTCTGTGTGCTACGGGAGGCTGGTGGCATCGCAGATGCTCAGTTCTGCAGACATGTGCATTCGGGAGTGCTCAAGCCCGCGAGTTGACTGTCAAAACAGCAGTCGCAAGCGCTGCCGGGATCCGGGTATCAGCCACCTGCCAGGAGGTTGTCCTGAAAGTTGGGAAAGCAACTTAAAGACAGGACTGACGGACGGGTCTAGAGCCGAGACACCGTGGTGGTAAAGGGATCATATAGTAATAATCCATTTTCACTCACAAGGCCTAGCAAGCTGAGTTCGTGCTGGCGAATGCTTGTTTCTTGAACTTCATGAAAGCATGTAGCATGTCCAGCCTGTGGTCCAACTATGAATGCTTCCCATCCAAAAAGAAAAAATAGATTTACTTAAAAGATAAGCGGATACGTGTAACCTGATTATCTGTTTGTCCGAGTATGAACTTTGTAGATGGCAACTGTGGCTCAATGTGAAAAGACCAAGATATCTAGGCTAAACGACGAGCATCCTGCTTTAGCAAGCTGGTGTTTCAGGCTATGTTCTTGAGATGAAGTAACAAAGACAGCAAGGAAGATGAGGACTTAGAAAGAAGGCGGTTGTAACCAGTCAGATCAGAAATGACACATGTTCCCAGCTGCTTGTACAGGCCTGTAATCCCAACACTCAGAAGGCTAAGGCAGGAGGATTGCCATAAATTAGAGGCTGACCTGGTCTCCAAAGCTACTTCAAGCAGTCAAGATGACATAGTGTAATCTTATCTTTAAAAATAAAAATCAGGACAGAGTGGTGGTGCATGCCTGTAACCCCAGCACTCTGGATGCAGGCAGATCTCTGAGTTCAAGGCCAGACTGGTATACAGAGAAAGTTCCAGGACTACATCGAGAAGCCCTGCCTCAAAAGAAAAAAATCACAGTAATAATAGTAGCACAATTACAAACATACTGAATTCCATTTAATTGTATGCTTTTGTTGATGGTTTTCTGGGACTGTGTCCTTTGCTGTCCTCAGATTTGTTCTGTAGCCTCGGATGACTTTGAATCTCATCCTGCCTCTATCTAAGTGCTGAAAACTCAGGTGTATACTAGCATGTGGGTGCCTAGTGTTGGAAGAGGTCAGAAGAGGGAGTTAGGTCAGTCACCTGGAACTGGATTTGTCAATGTTTGTGAGCTGCCATGTGGGTGCAAAGAAGCAAAGCTGGGTCCTTAGGAAGAGCAGCACTTAGAATAGGGTGGGAGGGCCAAAAGTTCAAGATCGTCTGCAGCTACACACGAGTTTAGGACAGCCAGTCTATTTTACTGACTTGCTTCTGTCCACCAGCTTGGGAACAGGTGAGAACAGGGAGTGTGCAGATCCTTCGTTTGTGACTAACCTGACAGGAATTTAGGCCAGCAGTTTTCAAAGACACAAGCAAATAAGGTTACACAAGAATAGACTTGTTTCTTAAAACTCATTTGAAAATTTGTTTTAAATAGTTTCTCTACAAGAATGAAGGTAAGACTGGGTTTAGGGAACTATGATTGGTTGATACTTGCAGGTTTAGTATGCTCTTAGATTTAGACAAAACACTTTTCTGAGACAGTCTTACCATTTAAACCAGGCTGGCATGGAACTTTCCAAATCACTTCCTCTACTTTCCAAGAGTTAGGATTGTAAGAGTATGAACCTGTTCTGTACTGTCTGAAGAATGATCCATGCTAGCCGAGCTGTCAGTTTAGAATGAATGAGTTTATTAAATATATCAAATGAATAAAAAGCAAATAGAAATGAATATCAGATAGATATTAAAATACCATTGAATAAGTAGTTTTCAACATCCAGCTGAGATAGCCCAATTGAGAAAGTCAAAGGTAACTTACAAACATCCAGCAGGAACTGACTGGGGAAGTTGAGGCAATCAGCTGGAATTCCCAGTTAAGATTCTTCTCCATAGGTGAGTTACCCATGGAACACATAGCTGAACTTCCAGCTTCCAGTTCCTACTGCAGGTATTTTTACATGATGGGAAAAACAACAGTAACATCGGTTGGAAATGCTTTACCTTCTGAATGTTCTCAAAAGACATGATGTTTTATTTCAGCTGTTTTACTGATAACCTCCCTCCCTGTCAGAGCTAGGGGCGAGCCTGCTGAATTAAACATGCTGCACCCTGAGAGGAGGGCCTCTTTAAAGCCCTCTTTCAGTAAGTTTAAGCAACACATGACAACTTACCAATATAATGTACATTTCAGTCACTGTACCTAAATTTATGTAGATTTTTTTCATGGCATTGTTTTCTAAACAATATAACATGAAAACTACTTACTTAGCGCGTACAATGTAATTGGCATTTAAAGTAATGTAGAGGTCCCTGAAGACATGTAGGAGGGAGGGAAGGATGTAGATTATGTGTAAATACTTTGCTATTACATGTAAAGGACTTCAGCATCCATGTGTTTTGGTGTTTGATAGGGGTCCTGGAACCAATCTTCATGGACACCAAGGGAGGGCTGTACTAAAAACAAAAACAAAACATTTACTAAGCCAGAGAGTATCTCTGCAAAGGTACCATATTTTTTTATCACACAAGACTTGGCTTGTTCCTTGATGAATCAGCAAATGGATGCCCAACTAGTTGTTTACCAGCCTTAACACCAGGGAGGAGGAAGCTGTACAAAGGGAAGAGACATAACATCTGCAATTCCATCTGATTTTATGTAGCTCAGATGCCTGGAACTCACCATCTTCTTACTTCAGTTTTCCAAGTGCCAGGATTAGTATGTGCCACTATGCCAACAGCTATTCTATTGGTTTATTATGGTTTGTTTAAGTGTGTTAAGATCCTCCTGCTTCAACATCCTCAATGTTGAGATTACAGGTGAACAACACCATGCCTGGCTATTTATTTATTTAGGGTAGGTCCCCTGAAGCCCAGGCTGACTTTGAACTTGCTATGTAGCTGAGAATGACTTTGATCTTGGTTCTCCTGCCTCTGCCTCCCAGGTGCTGGAATTACAGATGTAAGGATACCACCCTAACGTAATTTGCTTTTTTGTTTGTTTGTTTGTTTTGTATCCACCACCACACACACACACAGAGAGAGAGAGAGTTTCTCTGTGTAACCACTCTGGCTGTTCTAGAACTCACTCTGTAGAACAGGCTGGCTTTGAACTCTCAGAGATCAGCCTGTCTCTGCCTCCTGAGTGCTGGGATTAAAAGTGTGTGACACTACCAGGGGGCTAATTTATTTTTATTATTCATTTTTAATTTATTTTTAAATTTAATTTATTTTTGAATAAAATGGTGAGTGTCAGATCTCGGGAAGTTCACATGTCCAGAAATGGCAGTCTTGGCTCTGCCCAGGCTAGAATATAGGATTTCTTGGCAGTTAGATAAAAAATCAGAATTCCTCAGGAATTTGTGAAACAAGTTTCCATTTGCCAAAGGGGGTCATTTCCCTTGCATCTGGCAGGAGGAACTTGTGCCTCTTCCTTGACATACTCCTGTGGTTGCACATCAAAGCCCTCCAGGCTCCCTAAGTCTCTGTTTAAACTTGTTATACATCCCAAAGTCTATGCTAACATCTTGGCCCTTCTCAGTTCCTACTCATCTTCCTTATGCCTCCCGTGATTTTGCCATGCCAGATTCCCTAGCTCTGGCCATGTCCAATCTGCTGCTTTTTCTCTCAGCTCTGGACTCTTCCAGATGCCCTTACCCCTAACCATGGTGTAGCTACTGTCTGGGGTTTCTTTACTGTCCCCTCACTTAAAGTGAACACACTGGTATGTATGGGAAGATCACTTGAGCCCAGGAGTTCAGAGGCAGAAAGACCTCCTCTCTGTACACAGGAATAAACAAGAAGTCTTAGGCTGGCAAGATGGCTCAGACAGTAAAGAAGCACTTGCAACCAAACTTGACAACCCGAGTTAGTCTCTTCTTGAGACTCTGCACAGCAGGCATGGACCATGAGGGGTCAAGTTTCTGATGGCTTGAGCCTAGTCCTTAAAAAGCGGGACTTCAAGAGGCACCAGGTTGCATGCAGCCAGAATTTGTTAGAGTTTGAGGTCCTGCTCAGAGGCAACAGGGCTGCTGTGAGGCTAAAGTAGACTTAAAATAGATTACCACAGTTGTCCATCTCAGAACAGCATTACAGTCTTGAGTTTGAGGCCAGCCTAAGCTGTACAGAGAGATCTTGCCACCAGCAGAATAATTTAGGATCTAAATTTTAGATAAGTGTGTACCATGTTCTTCCATTCCAAAACTGAGCCATTTCACTGGTCACTTTACCTAAAACTTCCTTCATTTTATTTATTTATTTGTGTGTGTGGTGGTGACTACCTGTACACCATGACTTTCGTGTGGGGTCAGAGAGAGGTTAGCTTTCAGGAGTTGGTGGCTCTCTCCTTCCACCACATGGGGCCCATGGGGGGGGTGCTTATTCCTCATCAAATGAGTTATCTTCTTAACCATATGGATGTGAGCCTACAGCTCATATCAGGTGAAACCACCCGATAAAACATATGAACTTTCCTTTTTCTGGGTGTGGTGGCACATGCTTTTATTCCCAGCACTCAGGAAGAAGAGGCAAGTGGAACTGTTTGAGTTCTGGGCCAGAATGAGTTCCAAGACAGCCACAGAGAAACACACAGAGAAACCCTGTCTCCAAAACCAACAAAAAAGAAAACAAATTTTCTCTTTACTGCTGTCTTAGTTAGGGTTTCTATTGTTGCAACAAAACACCATGACCAAAAAGCAAGTTGAAGAGAAGAGTGTTTATTTGGTTTCC